CAGCCATGCTGGCTGGGGAATTCTGGGGGTTGAAGTCCACACATCTTAAAGATGCTAAGGTTGAGAAACACTGGTCTAGGATGGCAAAAAAGGAGTGTGGTAACACCTTTTCCAACTAACATAGCGTGGCTAGAGTGATGTAGGATTTAAATTAGGGTGAAGGTTTGCGGGAACCAATCTCAGAAAATCCAGTGAGGCAGTGAAGGACAGGAAGGCCTGGCGCAATATGGTTCATGGGGTCACGAAGAGTCGGACACTTTGCGGGAACCAATCTCAGAAAATCCAGTGAGGCAGTGAAGGACAGGAAGGCCTGGCGCAATATGGTTCATGGGGTCACGAAGAGTCGGACACGACTGAACGACTGAACAACAACAACATGAACCACCTTGAGAGTTTTGGCATCACAGACATGCAATTAATACATTAATAAAACACACATACCTTTTCCAATTTCTGCTTGGTCCTTTTTTTTTTTTTTTAATATAATACAAAAGGCAAACCACTTGCCAACAGGGATCAATATTTTCTCAAATGAGGATCAATGATCCATCCACAATATGCAACAAACATTGATCCTGAAGTCAAGCCCAACTTTTTTCCCACTAGGCAATCCCGAGGCTACTATAGTTCAGAAAAAGGAGGACAAGCTGTGCATTCTTAATTTCCCACTGCCGAACCACCATCTCTCCAGGTTTAAGGGACAGAAAATCCTGTTTCTTTTACACACCGCAGTTGGCTTCTTTAGCTAGAGTAGAATTAAAGCATTTTATTTCCATGTAGATCCCAAGTAGCATAACCAAAGATAACAGATCTGGGAATGCATCAACAGAATCCAACTCAGTTCTTAAAGTGGCTAATTTTACCCCTATCCTAGCAGAATCCCTGAATGTGGCTTTTCCCTCTAAAGGAAGTCACGATTCCTTTCTGGGGAGGAAAAGAAATCTCTGTGCATGGGCTTAGGGTTCTACAGTGACATCCACCTTGGACGGAAGATGTTTGCATGCAGAGCACATAAGGAGACGCACGCACGCACGCACACACACACGGTCTTTACAATGCACAATGCACTGTCGTGCACATACCAGCCAATCATATCGATGGGCCTTTTGCTAGGAAATAAATAATGCAGCAAGGTGTGGGTTGAAAAGCAGGGAGGTGGGAAGGCAAAGGAAAAGATCAGGAGATGTTGCTGTCTCTGAATAAAGGGGTTCCCTGCATCAGATCAGAGCATAAAATACGCCCAGGACAGCAGATACCTACAAGGAGGGGGCCAAGCCATTTTGCTGTTTCAGGCAGAGAAATGAATATTGTTTCCTTCCTAGGCAAGATGCAAAGCAAGGCAAATTCTTTTAGCACCTGAGGCAGAAAATCCCACCAGTACCTCTCTGGCAATTAAAATAATCCAATAAAATTAGATCATCCCCAGCCTGGTGTCCCTTCACGACACCCCTCGCCAGTTGTCTGAAGCAGCCAGCTCACTCCATCTAGCCACACCACCCTTGTCAGCAGCACAGCACGTGGCTTGGGCGAGTCATTAATAAGGAAGCCCATTGATTAAAAAGGAAGGCGGGGTGGAAATGTGCAGCCCATCCGGAACCATTCACAACCTCCATGCAGCCAAAGAATCATCTATGAGTCAGGCGGCTACTGAGATGGGAGAAATGCAATTTCTGAAGCCTGGTTCACATCCAATGCCTGCCTTTGGCACAGGTGTAGGCACAGTGGAAGGCCGAAGAGGGACCCCCCCCCAAGTTTCCCTTCCTGGCATTTTTGCATATAATTATGAATGAACAAAGGTGTCCCAGGATCCCCGATATCATTAAGAGAGGGTTTCTCTCAAGAATTGCCAGATTCACAGAATATTCCATCTTCCCACCAGGAAGATGGAAATGTTGATCTAGCTAAGTGTGTGTGTGTGTGTATCCATGTGTGTGTGTAAGGGATCCTAATGCTAAGTGAAAGGGAGGGGTGCGAATCTCCCCCTCACCCCCACAGAGGTAAATACTTGCTGTTCAAACGCAAAGAGGTGGGGGAACCAGCAATAAATTACAGGCAAAAATAAGAACACCTTTCCCCCCAAAATATCTGGCTTAACTACCACCTACACTCGCATGCTGGCAGCATCCGCTCTGAACCTTCAAAAATGAAGAGAACAAGGCAAATGGGTAAGCCGAAAGGAGGATGGAAATGTGCAGGGCGGGGGGAGCCTGGGACCCCCCGCCCAAGAGCTTCACAAGGCAGCCACGCAACACACCCGCGTATCTGTTAAGGCTACGAGGCTCAACGCCGGGGAGGGAGCGAAGCCCCGTTCGCTTTTCCGCGGGGTTCCCTTCCCCGCCGGTGCAAAGCTTCTACTACGGACGTTACAATCGGAACAGGTCAGCGGGAGAAGAAAGAAGGGAGCCCGCTGCTCTTCAGCCCGGACACGCGTCC